AACATTTACCAATATTTTCAAATTCTTATCCATTGATGACATGACAAGTATTGTATTTCACTTAGTTTACATGCTGATTTCCACATCACATCTAAACAATAAAATAAAGCTACCAGTATCTATGATATAACTCAGGTGACCGCTAAGGCCCTTGGGCCTCTTGTTTTTACCACTGTCACTATTCTGAAATATTTGTTTTACTCCTTTCCGTTTAAATACATGCCTTGATGCATTTTACAGAATGACATTTGTTTAAAATTTGAATGTTTGTAAACAGAAAAGAAATGATTGCAGGTATCAAACTCAGAATCTTTACATTCTAAAGCCTTCACTTATTAAATATTGTCATCCAGGAATGTTAACTCCACCATATCAGAATCAGTATGAGCCACAAAGCCTATGGGAAAACAATGAACATCTAAAGATACATGACAGGGGGAATTACTCTTAGTCAGAAAAAATCAGAGTCAAACTCTCCTGGTAGCAGTGTACATTAGCGTACTGTGGCCATGGGTGATATTTTTGTACAATGCCCATGTAATATTACAGGTATCAAAATGAAAAAAAATCAGCATTAAAATTGGCATATACATGATGAAGTGGACTATGTGGGCTTCACATTTAAAAAAAATCGACTGGTTTGAGACTACAGTTTTGGCCATTTTCAAATCTCTTTCTACACAACAAAAGCTAGCTTTTCATGTAGTATTTTTTTGTACTCAGCACATGTGTAAATATTGTGAAAAATCCACCGGAATGACCTATGCTAGAACGTGAGTATTTCTGTTACTGAGTAGGCAATATTTGATTTCAGGCAGGTTTTCAGAAAAAAATATCTACTTGCAGGGGTCAAATTTTGGGTTAAAAATCATGTTATTTTGCATTTTTTGGTGGTTTTTTTTATGAGGTATCCATGGTTTTCACAACTCCCAAATCTGGGGAAAACAGTTTTTGAAAAAGAATCAGTCTTCTAAACAAAATGAATTCAAAACGTAGTTTATAAATATATATATATATTATAAAAAGAAAAATTCTCAACAACCAGTCTTTAGTACTTTCATCTCTTCTAGGAGATTCTTTAGACATATATATGTAGGTGTACTGTGCAGGTTTAATAGTGTATCAGTCTGAGACATGCCCTTTATTTTTAGGAACAGGCCATTTCTACTGTCCTCTGCTACCTCTTTGTGGTTATTACTGATGTAGTGATACCCTTAACCCTAAAACAACAAAAACTAAAATAGTTACAAGTTCTAACATCCATACAACGTTCTCTTGTCTTTTTCAGAAATCACTGACCTGGGTTCCTTGGATTTGGTATTATACAGCATTTGCAGCAATGAAAACATTAAAAGGTAATCTGTTGCATCATCATAATGTATTGACTATGTTCCAGATACAGTATCATCATCATAATGTATTGACTATGTTCCAGATACAGTATAATTTTAGGTTTGGTGATCCAAGTATTTCAGGTAAAACCAGTGGTATCATGTGGAAAACTGCTATATTTTAAGTTCCTATCTCAAAAATATGTCAATATAAATTTGTGTACTGGGTACCTCTTTAACTCATTGCTAAAACTTGGAATTCATCCAAGATATTTTATTAGCTCACCTGGTCCAAAGAACCAGTCGTCCGTCCGTCAACTTTTCCTTTAAAACGCTACTAGTCCTGAACGGCCAGGTAGATTTTGACTAAATTTGGTCTGGAGTATCCTTAGGCTAAGGGGACTCAATTTTGTATAAACGGTGGGTGTGCCCCCCCCCCCCCCCCCCCCCGGGGGGCAGGGCAGAGGGGCGGGGCCCAATAGGGGAAATAGAGGTAAAACCTTGAAAATCGTTCTTCTACCCTAGGGATTAAGGGATTTTATTCTAATTTTGTCTGGAGCATCCTTGGGCCAAGGGGACTCAATTTTTAGCTTTGGTGAGCTTATGCCATACTGCAGCGTCCGTCGTCCGTCAGTCCGTCAACTTTTCCTTTAAAATGCTACTAGTCATGAACGACTGAGCAGATTTATCCTTGTATTAACTGTGGGTCTTGCCCCCCTGGGGGCTGAGTGGCAGGGCCCAATAGGGGAAATATAGCAAATACTTTAAAATCCTTCTTATTCTGTAGGAATGAAAGGATTTGTTCCATATTTGGTCTGAAGCATCCTTGGGTGAAGGAGAACCAATTTTGTATAAACCGTGGGTGGGGCCCCCCAGGGGCCTGAGGGGTGGGTCCCAATAGGGGAAACATAGCAAATTATTCTTCCGTAGGAATAAAAGGCTTTGTTCCATATTTAGTGTGCAGCATCCTTGAGTGAAGGACAACCAATTTTGTATAAACCGTGGGTGTGGCCCCCCAGGAGCCTGAGGGGTGGGGCCCAATAGGGGAAACATAGCAAATTATTCTTCCGTAGGAATAAAAGGATTTGTTCCATATTTAGTGTGGAGCATCCTTGAGTGAAGGAGAACCAATTTTGTATAAACGCTGGGTATGGCCTCCCAGGGTCCTGAGGGACGGGACCCAATAGTGAAATATAGGTAAAACCTTTAAAATCCTTCTTCTGCCTTAGAGATTAAGGGATTTTATCCTAATTTAGTCTGGAGCATCTATGGGCCAAGGGGACTCAATTTTGTATAATCATGCAGTGGGTATGGTCTCCGAAGGGGCAGAAGGGCGGGGCCCAATAGGAGAAATAGACGTAAAACCTTTAAAATCCTTCTTCGACCATCGGGATTATGGGATTTTATCCTTATTTAGTCTGGAGCATCCTTGGGTCAAGGGGACTCAATTTTGTATAATTGGTGGGTATGACCCCCTAGGTTGCATATAGGGGTGGGCCTCTGTTTGAAGTTTGTTCTCAGTATATCTCAAGTACTGGATGGATCTTTCTGAAATTGCATATGTACTTACAGCACCTACTTCATACCAATTATTTTAAACATATTAAGGTGAGCGATACAGGCCCTCTAGGCCTCTTGTTTATAAATGGAGGGTGTGGCCCCCCTGGGGGCTGAGGGGCGGGACCCAATAGGAGAAATATAGCAAATTATTTAAAATCCTTCTTCTTCTGTAGGAATGAAAGGATTTGTTCCATATTTGGTCTGAAGCATCCTTTGGGGGAAGGGGAAGCAATTTTGTATAAAGCATGGGTCTGGTCCTCCAGGGGCCTGAGGGGTGGGGCCCGATATGGGAAACATAGCAAATTCTTTAAAATCCTTCTTATTCTGTAGGAATGAAAGGATTTGTTCCATATTTGGTCTGAAGCATTCTTGGGTGAAGGGGAACGAATTTTGTATAAACAGTAGGTCTGGACCCCCTGGGGCTGAGGGACAGGACCCAATAGGGGAAATATTGCAAATTCTTTAAAAGCCTTTTTCTTGTGAAGGAATGAAAGGATTTGTTCCATATTTGGTCTGAAGCATCATTGGGTGAAGGGAAACCAATTTTGTACAAATCGTGGGTCTGGCCTGCCAGGGGCCTGAGGGGCGGGGCCCAATAGGGGAAACATAGCAAATTATTCTTTAAAATCCTTCTGCTTCTGTAGGAATGAAAGGATTAGGTCCATATTTATTGTGGAGGATCTTTGGGTAAAGGGGAACCAATTTTGTATAAACCGTGGGTCTGGCCCCCCAGGGGCCTGAGCTGTAGGGCCTAATAGGGGTAAAAATAGCAAATTATTCTTTAAAGTCCTTCTCCTTCTGTAAGAATGAAAGGATTTGGTCCATATTTAGTGTGGAGCATCCTTGGGGAAAGGGAAACCAATTTTGTATAAACGGTGGGTGTGGCCCCCATGGGACCTGAGGGGCGGGGCCCAATAGGGGAAACTGAAGTAAAACCTTTATAATCCTTCTTCTACCATAGGGATTAAGGGATTTTATCCTAATTTTGTCTGCAGGATCCTATGGCCAAGGGGACTCAATTTTGTATAAACAGTGAGTGTGGCCCCCCTGGGGGCAGAAGGTAGGGGCCCAATAGGGGAAACATAGCAAATTCTTCAAATACCTTCCTCTGTATCAATGACATGATTTTGTCCAAATTTGGTATAAAGCATCATTGGGTGAAAGGGAATCAATTTTGTTTAAACAGTGTGTCTAACCCCCCCCCCCTGGAGGCAGAAAGGCGGGGCCCAATAGCGGATATAGAGGTAAAACCTTTAAAATTCTTCTTCTACCATAGGGATTAAGGGATTTTATCCTAATTTAGTCTGGAGCATCCTTGGCCCAAGGGGACTCAATTTTGTATATGCAGTGGGTGTGTTCTCCCAGGGGGCAGAAGGGCGGGGCCAGTAGGAGAAATAGAGGTAAAACCTTTAAAATTCCTCTTCGACCATCGGGTTTAAGGGATTTTATCCTTATTTAGTCTGGAGCATCCTAGGACCAAGGGGACTCAATTTTGTATAATTGGTGGGTATGACCCCCTAGGTTGCATATAGGGGTGGGCCTCTGTTTGAAGTTTGTTCTCGCTATATCTCAAGTACTGGATGGATCTTTCTGAAATTTCATATGTACTTACAGCACCTACTATGGAGTGCTATATCTTTATGTTGTACCAATTATTTTAAACATATTCAGGTGAACGATACAGGCCCTCTGGGCCTCTTGTTGTTTCAAAACAAAGGGATTACACAACAGGCAAAGACTACATAAGTCTTCTCTTATTCCAGTTAAAGCATGTAAAACATGTACATATAGATAATACAGGGATCAGGAGGGACAGGTGATAGAAATTGATTGTTTAGGAGTATTACTAATTTTGGGAATAGTGACACTGTGTGTTAACGACACCGGATATTGCTACCAGGCAGGCGCTGATCACAAAAAGTGGGCTTCTGTTGCAGGTGAGTTTTTTAGGTCACTTGAGCTAAAGCTCAAGTGACCTATTGCTATCTGTTTTCGTCTGTCGTCGTCCGTCGTCCGTTAACATTTTACATTTCAAACTTAAAGTCAAGTTATGCTGGGCCGATTTAACTGAAAGTTGGTAGGAATGATCGCCTCATGGTCCTGACAAAGTGTTGTTATTTTTCGGGTCAATCAGAAATACAATTTGGCTGCCATGGCCGCTATTTTGCTACTAAGTTCTAATAGGCCGATCTCACTTAAAATTGGTCTAGGAATGATCAGCTCATGGTCCTGACAAAGTTAAGTTAACATTATACTATTTTTTACTCAAATTGGTACATATTTCAACAACAAAAATAAATACTGTAGACTCAGGTGACCGTTTAGGCCCATTGGCCTCTTGTTTTATATTTTCCTTACTTCAGAGGCTTGTATGTTCTTAGGGCTTGTTGGATCAATTCCTCACATTTTCAGCAATTGCGTCAACTAAAGAGAACATTCCTATATGGGTTGGGGGGGGGGAACAAATTTAACTACTTGTAACTAACTAATATGTATATGCATTACATACATTTATCGTATTTTCTAACTTCTTGTAAATTATGAGAAATATGCTGACATAATTTCGTTGCATTGTACGGCGACTTGCAATTTGCATGTTCCGTACAGTAATCTAAAAAACAAACATTCAATCTGCCGTCCAGTTCGACGAAATATTTTTGACGATATTTTATACAATGCTTTCACTGACACAATGAATGTGTGTAATGTAGATACATCTATATTTAGTTGTAGGCAGTAAAATGTGTGGAGTATACTACAAATGTTAATTCAGACACGTGATAGTTATAACTCGTAAATTTTCATCGATACCAGACAACGTGTTTGAAAGTCTGGAAGAAATATTGACCCCTATATGAACTTTTTCTATGGTTTAAGTAAATACTGAAAATGTTAGGTATTGATCCAAAAAGCCTCAAGAATATGACAGCCTCTGAAGTATGGAAAATATAGAAAAAACTCACCTTCAGCTGCAGTCCACCTCGTGTGATCACCGCCTGCCTAGTACCAATATCCTGTGTCATTAACGCACAGTGAATGAGTTGAATTGTTTAGATTTCCTGTTAATTTATAGCTTTGAGTTGATTCTCAAATCGAGAGTTTTAAGTAAGTTTGATCAATATCTTATAAAATTGAAACTCATTCACAAATTGTCCATTATACATCATGTATAGACCATTCAAATTCTTTGGGTACCTGGTCATAAATATGACTGAAATAAATGTTTGTGTAAATATATGGACACATTTCATATATATTTCTTGTTTAATAGTACGGTATATATGATTATTTGCTTTACCAGGTGCCGATTTCTGTGGAGAAAAATTGGCTTGGTTTTTCGGCATCACAACACCAAAATATCAATATGCTATAGATGAATTCTACAGATTGAAAGAAGAGGTAAAGGTTTCTTTACGTCAGAACTTTGTCACTTGTGGTCGTGTAATGCATGCTTCTTCGCAAGGAGAAACAGTATAATTTTTATACTTATTCGATTCAGTCTTTGATAATTATTTAAATGATAAAACCCTCAAAAGTTAAAATGTAGCAAGCTGAATCTTAATATACTCCATTTTATGTACATGTTGTATCATTAACAATTCTGTCTAATCATTGAACATTTAATGTTTTTTTCCCTTTGAATACTATGGATGTTTCGCTTCTACAGCAGAATATATGACTATTTTCACTTATGCTTCACAAGTGTGAAAAATATCAATATTCTTGAAATATATATGTGTCACCCTGGTAAAATACTAGCCGCTTCCTACCGACTCAGCTAGGGAGAATTTCTCTTTAGGTCATTCAGTAAAAGTGTAAGACTAGTAAACCAGAGGTCAGGGGTTCGACTCCTAGCAGAGACTTTGAAAAAAATAATGACCACTGTTACATACATGAATGTTATTTACCCAGAAAAAACATGAAACATCCTCTATTTATTGAAACAATATGTTGTATGTTTTGCAATGTACTGCATATATTAAAATATATTAATTTGGGTTTGTCCGTCTGTCAGTCTGTCTGTCATGCTTCGTTTCCATGCAATAACTACAACAAATGTTAACCAATTTTTTTCAAACTTGATCAAAGGGTTAAATGCCTAAAGGGCTCGGCCAAAAAGTTCAACCAATTTTTTTCAAACTTGATCAAAGGGTTAAATGCCTAAAGGGCTTGGCCAAGTTTGAAGACCACTTTCAGCGGACTTTATTTGGCGGAGTTAAGGCCCCTTGAATAATGAAAAACATCATTATCTGCCGTTTCTGTTTATTCAATCTCGCAAATATTATCTGATTGTCCTCAAACTTAATAACAAGGTTCAACACATTAAAGACTCGGCCAAGTTCAACAACCACTTTAATCAGACTCCATTTGGCAGAGTTATGGCCCCTTGATTAACGAAAAACATCATTATTTGCAGTTTCAGCTTTATAACTCTAGCAAATATTAGCCAAATTCCTTCAAACTTGATAACAAAGTTTGTGTTCCTCGGTCTTTCCACCCATCTTGGGCACTCTTTGGTTTTCGTGTGATAAATGCTGTAGATATTGTTCAGATGTTTCAACCAAGTTCCGTATGCACATCCGACTCATGCTAAGTTTGCCAATCGATGTGATTTGTGCATATTTACAGAAAATCATTGAGGTATAGGGCTTTTCTTTTTCTTCAAGTTTTAAGCTTGACGTTATGTCTCAACAGCACGATACTCAAATGTGTAAACATAACCTCAATAATGTTAACCTTCAATATGTCCTGCAAGCGGGGGATATAAATTCCACGAATTTGCTTGTTACCAGACGTTTACAGTATGTTACAGTAGCAGTCGTACGGCCACATAAGATAAACAATAGATTGAGCTAATGGTTTGTTACAGAACCATTTCTAATCCATCGGGATGATTATGTCTATTTCAGGAGGAGAAAGAGAATGCGAGACAAGAGAAAATATTGAAGAAGTTGGAGGCAGAGAAGTTATCAAGTGTGGATATAGAAATAGACTTTAAAGGTGTCCCGTCCCAACAGATGCCAGGGGCTAACACCACAGAAAACGTGGACAAATACTAGCATGGAAACAACCCAGCATCAAGTTCCTGTGTCAATTAAAGTGTTACAAGTTTGCAATTTCTGAAAAGTAGATTTTTGCTATTATACCAAAATATGAATAACCATGTCAGATATCCCTCCATTTTCAAAACAGTTTTCTTTACATATTTAGATGTTTGGTACATGGCATTTTACGGTATTTCAAGATTTAAGTTAATTCTTTGTGTCTGAATCAAGAAATGTTTCATGTTCAGTTTTATTTTGTTCAGCTGAAAGAAAATGTATGGTCCAATTTGTTTTTATGAATACTATAATTACACTGCACTGAGGAATATTTTGATTAAGTACAGTAGCAAAAAAAATATTGTTTAAGAAAGTATTGAGAGGAATTTATTTTAAGATGTTGGAGCCAGTTGTCTGTGATACTTTAGTGTGTCCATGTGATCTGAACTTAGATAACTGTAGGGAGCTGTATTGAAAAAGAGACGTTACAGCTGATGTATCTTACGACGACCATTCATGTACCAAAACCCGGAAAGTATTGTCAATAACCAGCCCAAAAGGAACAACAATCCACTCTTTGACGAAGGATCATGTATGTTTCGCAAGAAATTAATTTTGGCATCAGTTTAAGAGATAATTGTATGCTCATGAAAATGTACATGTCAGATTTAATATTTCTTTAAAATGTATTGATATTTCACTTCTTTTAATCCGAAAGTAATTTCTCCCATGTTTCTAGAATAAATTTCTTCTAGTATTGGATCAAATTTTAAAAGATTCCTTTATAAATTAGTATGTTTATTTGTAGGTTTCAAAAAAGATCATTTGGGTATAAAACAAGAGAAATGCAGTGTTTTGTTTCATTACAGACTTAAATAATATTGCATGTACAATGAAAATTGAAAATAGATTCTATTAATGCCATCAAACGTATTTAGTTTTTATAATAACTGGCAGATACTTAATTCTTAGCCCTAACACAGAGTTGTCAAACCAGACAACAGAATGGACCTTTAACATATAACCGTACCGGTATATGATATATATGGGGAACATATTGAGGAATGATTCAAATTTTAAAATGTATAAGTCTTTGAGTGTGCAGGAACTTAAAAGAGAGCATTTTACAGAATCAAAACAAAATAGATTGTTTGCGACCTACATTGTGTGAAATTATATAGATGTTATGGTTTCCCAGCCAATTTTTTACAACACAAGGGAAGAAACTCGTATATTATGTGTAAGGGGGAGACAACTTTGCATTCACTGTTGTTAGGGAGATATTGGCTATATTGGATAGTGAAAAGGAAAATGATTAGGTCATTGTTTGTTGAAACACTTTCTGAAATGGTTTTAAGGGTTTGTTTGATGAATTATTGAATATGCATTATTAATATTGAACATATTTTGAAGTATATTTTGCGGGTTTTTTATGTTGACAAGAGTGAAAGACAATGTATATAAGTGGATGATTTAATTTGTTAAGTCAATAGACTACTAAGTGTTACAGTTGTGTGGCTATGTGACTGAATTAAACATTGTATGAATAGAAGTTCAAAATACAGCTTTTATCTTCCCTAAGATGACGTACATAATTTCAACAAACCAATTTTTGAAGTCATTTTGAAAGAAAAAAAGATAAAATGTGAAAGAAATAATTTCCAGATTGCATATTTCTCCTTCTCCAGTTTTCTTTTTAATCTTGAAAAATAAATACAAAGAATCTGAAATATATGCATATCATATTTTCCCCTTTGTTTCCAACACCAATATCTTCAGAAGTTCTGAACTATTTTATTTTACCTTTTGGTAATTAATTTACTTTCATAAAGGCATTCATTGTGTTGTTAAAGTAATGAACTTTATGTCTCGTAACAGCCAAATAGTTTCCCAAAATGTAAACACATTGGTGTGTTTTGGTGGCCTACCATATAAAAACTTAGAACAATGTTGTACCTGTTTTAACGGTAAATTTTTGGGGATTGACATCTTCGCTAGCCAAGGGATACGATCTGGTACGATCAGGTCTACCTCCTATTCAGAGAGAGCTAACTTGAGCGTAACCAATGGAGGATGGAGGACGGGTGATCTACTTTAAATAAGTAATTTTGTCTTAGATACAGTGTGATGTGTTGATAGACCGCCTTACAAGTAACCAAATCAACTCATTGTCATGTATGTTATGATTATTTAAAATGAGTGCTTATTACAATAAATATAGTATGGTGTAATATGTATATGTATGTGTTGATTATAATAAATATGGTATGGTATAATATTTATAGTATTGTATAACATAATATCATGTATGTTGGGATGTTTTGTTAAATGGTCGAGTACAGTATGTGTTTTTGTTTTGTGAGTTTTGATCATTAATATATTTTACTTCCATTTCGTCTGATGATACGCAGCAGTCTGTAAGTGAGTTTATTATATTAAACAAACTTTCAAATTAGTCTCAATTTTTATTTTAATCAATTCATGTTATTTGAACCAAATTGGAATGGAGATAATAAAATTGTGTTTTTTCGCGGCCGAAAGGGCAAGTGAGCTTATGCCATGGCACAGGGTCCGTTGTACATAAACTTTTTCTAAAAATCACTACTTGTCATAAACGGCATAGCAGATTTTAAATAAATTTGGTCAGAAGCATCCTTAGGGGAAGGGGGAACAAATTTTGTATAAATGGTGGGTCTGGCCCCCCTGGGGGCTGAGGGGCAGGGCCCAAAAGGGGAAATATAGCAAATTCTTTAAAATCCTTCTTCTTCTGTAGGAATGAAAGGATTTGTTCCATATTTGGTCTGAAGCATCCTTGAGTGAAGGGAAACCAATTCTGTATAAACGGTGGTTCTGGCCCCCTATGGGCCTGAGGGGCGGGCCCAATAGGGGAAACATTGCAAATTCTTTAAAATCCTTCTTATTCTGTAGGAATGAAAAGATTTGGTCCATATTTGGTCTGAAGCAATCTTGGGTGAAGAGGAACCAATTCTGTATAATCGATTGGTCTGGCCCCGCCATGGGGCTGAGGGGTGGTGCCCAATAGAGGATATATAAAAAAATCTTTAAAATCCTTCGTCTGTATGAATTAATGGATTTGTTCCATATTTGGTCTGAAGCATCCTTGGGTGAAGGAGAACCAATTTTGTATAAATCATGGGTCTGGCCCCCTAGGGGCCTGAGGGTCGGTGCCCAATAGGGGAAGTATAGCAAATTCTTTAAAATCCTTCATCATCTGTAGGAATGAAAGGATTTGTTCCATATGGGCCTGAGGGGCGGGGCCCAATAGGGGAAACATAGCAAATTCTTTAAAATCCTTCTTCTTCTGTAGGAATGAAAGGATTTGTTCCATACTGGTCTGAAGTTTCCTTGGGTAAAGGGGAACCAATTTTATAAAAACAATGGGTGTGGTCTCTCAGGGACCCAATAGGAGAAAAAGAGGTAAAACCTATAGAATCCTTCCTGACCATGAGATTAAGGGATATTTTCCTATATATCCTAATTTAGTCTGGAGCATCCTTAGGTCAAGGGGACTCTTATTTTGTATAAGCAGTTGGTGTGGTCTCCTAGGGGCCAGAAGGGTGGGGCCCAATAGGAGAAATAGAGTTAAAACCTTTAAAATCCTTCTTCAACCATTGGTATTAAGGGATTTTATTCTTATTTAGTCTGGAGCATCTTTAGGCCAAGGGGACTCAATTTTGTATTAACGCTGGGAATTACCCCCTTTGGGACATAGGGGTGGGGCTCTGTTTGAAGTTTGATCTGGTATATCTCAAGTACTGGATGGATCTTTCTGAAATACAGCACCTACCATATCTTTACTTCATACCAATTATTTTAAACATATTCAGGTGAGTGATACAGGCCCTCTGTGCCTGGTGTTTGTTTGTTATTGTGTTGCCCTGATTTATATTTCCTCACAATACAATAGACCTGGGCCTGTATTCATAAAACTATTCTCATGCTCAAGCATAAACTCTGTGCGCAAACTTTCTTATAACTCATGTGTAAACATTGAAAAGTAGTCGACTTCAAATCTCTCCTAAATTATTAAATATTTGATAATCTATTCGTGTTTCTGTTTATGTGTCTGTTGGACTTGAACAAGTAATTTGACTGGAGAGCACAAAATCTGCGTTAGGGCATGTTATGAGAACGTGAATACGGACCTAGATGTAAACGACGAAGAATAGTTGTGTACTAGTACTGATCAAAAAAAGAAGAGACATTGGCCCAAAATCATCTTGTTCTTTCAATAAACTTAGACATGTTTGTTCAAATCAAAACTATGCTGGGATCACGGACTTAGATAGCTAATCTAAGTGCTGGGATGGTGCGAACGGGCGATGTTAAGAGGAGATGAAAACACTTCACATGTCCTTTTCTTTAGTTTTCAAACTGGTCGTAAATCGGGTCTCTGCCGTGACACACTTTAGCTTATTCATTGGACCACCCTGTATTGTCGAGCGCTTAGACATATCATAGACCAGTGTACACATTGAAGATTTATTGTACAATTATTTAAAAAATCCTTTGTAGAAATTACGATGTTAATTTAGAAAAAAAATCTCGTTTTGTTTCCTACGCCAAGTCATGGAATTAGATTGCTATCTAAGTTCGTGGCCAAGTAAACAATTCATTACATATGTGTGTTTAGTTTTGCATTCATTGTTTTAATTTGTACGAAAAATAAATCATTTTCATGTCTCCCATTAAATTTGTTGAAATCGGGAACGTGTGTTTTTCTTTGCTTATAGAGGAGAGAAATCTTATTAGAACTTTAGTAATCGATATAATTTAATCAGCGAAAGCTTAATAGTGCTGGTACAAAATATAGTTCAATGCGCAGACGCACGTTCCATGGACTAGACATGCAATTATCACTTACGGTAGATTCTCTCCAATCATGATGGCTGTTTAGTGTTGAGGGTCAAACTGTTCATTTCGGACACAGTCACAATTCTGGTGTTACGTAAGAAACAGTCACTGAGCTACAGATCTGGTGTTACGTAGTAAACAGTCACTGAGCTACAGATCTGGTGTTACGTAGTAAACAGTCACTGAGCTACAGATCTGGTGTTACGTAAGAAACAGTCACTGAGCTACAGATCTGGTGTTACGTAAGAAACAGTCACTGAGCTACAGATCTGGTGTTACGTAAGAAACAGTCACTGAGCTACAGATCTGGTGTTACGTAAGAAACAGTCACTGAGCTACAGATCTGGTGTTACGTAAGAAACAGTCACTGAGCTACAGATCTGGTGTTACGTAAGAAACAGTCACTGAGCTACAGATCTGGTGTTACGTAAGAAACAGTCACTGAGCTACAGATCTGGTGTTACGTAAGAAACAGTCACTGAGCTACAGATCTGGTGTTACGTAAGAAACAGTCACTGAGCTACAGATCTGGTGTTACGTAAGAAACAGTCACTGAGCTACAGATCTGGTGTTACGTAAGAAACAGTCACTGAGCTACAGATCTGGTGTTACGTAAGAAACAGTCACTGAGCTACAGATCTGGTGTTACGTAAGAAACAGTCACTGAGCTACAGATCTGGTGTTACGTAAGAAACAGTCACTGAGCTACAGATCTGGTGTTACGTAAGAAACAGTCACTGAGCTACAGATCTGGTGTTACGTAAGAAACAGTCACTGAGCTACAGATCTGGTGTTACGTAAGAAACAGTCACTGAGCTACAGATCTGGTGTTACGTAAGAAACAGTCACTGAGCTACAGATCTGGTGTTACGTAAGAAACAGTCACTGAGCTACAGATCTGGTGTTACGTAAGAAACAGTCACTGAGCTACAGATCTGGTGTTACGTAAGAAACAGTCACTGAGCTACAGATCTGGTGTTACGTAAGAAACAGTCACTGAGCTACAGATCTGGTGTTACGTAAGAAACAGTCACTGAGCTACAGATCTGGTGTTACGTAAGAAACAGTCACTGAGCTACAGATCTGGTGTTACGTAAGAAACAGTCACTGAGCTACAGATCTGGTGTTACGTAAGAAACAGTCACTGAGCTACAGATCTGGTGTTACGTAAGAAACAGTCACTGAGCTACAGATCTGGTGTTACGTAAGAAACAGTCACTGAGCTACAGATCTGGTGTTACGTAAGAAACAGTCACTGAGCTACAGATCTGGTGTTACGTAAGAAACAGTCACTGAGCTACAGATCTGGTGTTACGTAAGAAACAGTCACTGAGCTACAGATCTGGTGTTACGTAAGAAACAGTCACTGAGCTACAGATCTGGTGTTACGTAAGAAACAGTCACTGAGCTACAGATCTGGTGTTACGTAAGAAACAGTCACTGAGCTACAGATCTGGTGTTACGTAAGAAACAGTCACTGAGCTACAGATCTGGTGTTACGTAAGAAACAGTCACTGAGCTACAGATCTGGTGTTACGTAAGAAACAGTCACTGAGCTACAGATCTGGTGTTACGTAAGAAACAGTCACTGAGCTACAGATCTGGTGTTACGTAAGAAACAGTCACTGAGCTACAGATCTGGTGTTACGTAAGAAACAGTCACTGAGCTACAGATCTGGTGTTACGTAAGAAACAGTCACTGAGCTACAGATCTGGTGTTACGTAAGAAACAGTCACTGAGCTACAGATCTGGTGTTACGTAAGAAACAGTCACTGAGCTACAGATCTGGTGTTACGTAAGAAACAGTCACTGAGCTACAGATCTGGTGTTACGTAAGAAACAGTCACTGAGCTACAGATCTGGTGTTACGTAAGAAACAGTCACTGAGCTACAGATCTGGTGTTACGTAAGAAACAGTCACTGAGCTACAGATCTGGTGTTACGTAAGAAACAGTCACTGAGCTACAGATCTGGTGTTACGTAAGAAACAGTCACTGAGCTACAGATCTGGTGTTACGTAAGAAACATCACGCAGTTATATACGCTTGACCTTAACATTCGCCAAGTTAAATGCTACCAAATCCGCAAAAGAAAACACGATTTCCGAATTCCTTAGAAATGTCCCTTACAGCATACTGATACAGCCATATACCACAACACAAATAAAAGCAGTGTGTCCCAGCTGTGGTCCATAATTGTTTTATCATCTGCACGAGACATGTATGGGTCAGCTGATCCGATGGTTATACAAACAAAAATCTTAACTTTAACCAGAACTCTTACAAATTCATTTGAATAGAAGCAGTATGTTAACACGTCACAAGAGAACTTACGGGCAGAGTAGATGTTTACGTTTTGTACTAAAGCTGTTTTACTATATACGAGTCTCGTCAATTCAGCCATCACTATTCAAGTTATCCAACTGTCCAACATGTGTTTTGGTAAGGGGGTCAGCTCTTGGTTGTCAATTAAGGTGGCTGGATGAACGAAAATGGCTATATTTACGAAGCTGTTTTTACTAAGGACCCCTCTCCCAGTTCTCTGGGGGTTTTTCGCACACACATAAACACTGACATCCCC